TAGTGCATGGCATGTGAATTGTCTTTGCATTATTTTGTGCAGGTCTGTTTTGTGCGTGATTTTGGATTGAACTAGACCTGGTCTGTTGAAAAGTCTCGGACACACAGCACTTGTGAAAGTGGGAAGGGTTCTCGGCGGTAATACTTTCATATTCATCATATGTTAAACTTAACTTCTATACTATTCTGATGTTCGGCGAAGTCATAACCTGTTAAGAAAGATAGAACGCTCTTTGGTAGAAAGATGGTTTCATTGATATTTCTCAAGGAAATAATACATACGCAGTAAGGAAATAAACAGTCTTTTAAAAGTTCGACTTGAATGTCTAACGGGTCAGTCTTAAGCGTCTAACCGCGCGTACCCCATTTTATGCTACAACGATCGAGCAAACGCCCTCGGCCGACCTACCTCTACAAAGGCATGTAAAAACCTTCGCATGTGGGCCGGTAGCTCAACAGGGATATGCCTACTTGAGGGTGGTGACAGCCCCTCGGGTAGAGGAAAGTTGTACCTCGCGACTCCCCGACCTATCGTGGGGTGTCGTGAGAGGTATAGCCCGCGCGCATGGTCGAAGTGGTAACTTGTTGTTCTTCAAGAATGAATCCTGTGTGACACGACCGTGAGGTTCAGCGCTCCCAGCGGGGTGCGGGACCGTCGCGCGCGACAACGGGACATCGACTTCAGCACCGTGACAGATATTGCTGAGACGATGGTTGTAACCGACTCATTTTCCTTACTGAAAGAAGGAAAAATCATAAACCTAACCAGTAAAATGGGCGACAAGGTAAAGAGAGGGATAGAAAGCCTGCATGAGCGTGTCTATGGGGTAGACGGAAAAATCGAAAGGGTAGAGAACGCATTGATGGTAATGCAAACCCAAGTGACGCAAGGACGTCATAAACCTAACCGGTAAAACGGGTGACAAGGTAAAGAGAGGGATAGAAAGCCTGCATGAGTGTGTCCATGGGACAGACGGAAAAATCGAAAGGGTAGAGAACGCATTGATGGTAACGCAAGCCCAAGTGACACAAACTCAAGCAGCTCGACCCCCCCTCCCACCACAAGAGGCGGTGACTCCCACAGGAATAGCTAACCGGGGGTTCAAAAGGAGAGATTCGGCAAATGAGCAATGCAAGTATTGATCGAGGAGAGATCATAGGCCCCCGAGGAGAGAAAGTGAATTGGAACTCCCCAGGTGAGATGCGTCGGGCCGTAATCACACTTAACAACCTCGACATCGCCACAGTGGAGGCCGAGCCCGAGGCGGAGCTCGCCTGGGAATAGGCGCGAGGACGGGCGCCGCAGGCCAATTTTATTTTCAAGAATGACGAGCGAGATAGGGTGAACGTAACCACTACACAGCGAACAACAGAAAAGAAGATCGTACAAGACGCCGTCATGGAAGATGTTGGGGATGGCCCGGGGATGCCACAATAAACTGAGGCACAACAACAAGAGAAAGTTTATGGAAAATCTAGAGAAGAGGATCCGGTAGACAAAGCTGCCTCGGCCAAAAAAAAATTCCGGTATCAGATCCCCATTCTAACTATGTCCGAGATCGATGACACCCTTAGCAAGCTGCTAGGGACCATGGTGTCGGTTTCTTTCCAAACCATGTTGCAGGCAAGCCTGAGGCTCTTGAAAGGTCTTAGACAACTACTGACGAGGCGAAGAATAGAGGTAGAAGAAGGGCCGAAACAGCAGGAGAAAGGGAAGGAAGAGGAGGCACCACGAGAAGTCGCCTACTTCCAAAGGTTCCCCGGGGACCTGGATAAGTTAGAGAAGGCCTTCGCAGACATCCAGCTAAGTCTGCCAGACCGTGAAGGTGGCGAGGTTATGAGGGCACCACCAGGGACAAAACTTAGCTTTCATGTACTACCGGTGGGTAAGCTGAAAGTCCAGATTGGAAGCCACCACACCGATGCGCTCGTACACGGAGGGGATGAAATAACATTCATTAGAAAATACTTTGCAAAAATTACGGAATGCCCAGTAAACAAAGAGACAACGGGAAGCGTCCGTGGGGTAGGCGGGGAAATTCCCTTTTTCGGGTATGTTACTAAGTACGCAGCTAAGGCCGAGGTTAGGGAGTCTATTTGGTCGTTCCAACAGATGACTGTCATGGACGAAATGGACCATGACATAATCCTTAGGAGACCTTGGTGTGCGAATGTAGAAATAATCGGAATGCACCTGCATGATGGAACATACATGGTGGACATAGAAGACCCGGTGACAGGTCGAGATGAGCTACTCCGTCTCATCGAGACAGGCGGTGACACGCCAAAGGGGAAATTAACAACATGGTCACTATCGTTCAAAGAGAGTGCCAAAAAGGACGTTTTCGCAAAAATGGAAGGAATGAAGGAAATGGTAGAATTTATGATCGAGGAGGCGTTCAACAAGAAAGAATGGATCAAGATGGGGTTGCACAGAAAAAGTGGAGGCAGGAGGACGATGCCCTAAAATTAATGGTAGTGGAGAAAGAGACGGAGGTCGAATTGGGAGCCAACTTGCCTAGACCAAAGAAGGTCCGAGAGGAGGAAACCGGGATAACACTGGAAGTCTTGCACTTACTACACCTCATCAAGGCTATCTGATACCATAAGGTAGGTGTGGATTCAACCGCGCTCGCTAAGTTTGAAGGAGAAATCCGAAAAGGTTACTGCCTGAACGAGAAATTAATCAGTATCCAACCTCGGATTGCCAAAACACCTCGGGCAATTCCGACTGCTCATTTTCTAGGAGAAAGATCCGGAAGGAAGCATTCGCAAGTACAAGCCAGTAGGGAAGAAGGTCAAGCCTGTCTCGGTCCTGCTAGAAACAACAAAGGAAGAAGTCATGGAAAAGGAGAAGGAAGTGCTCCGGGTGAGTAGAGAAAGAAGGGCAACAAAGGGGCATCGAATACCAAACGAGGTAGCAGAGACCATGAAGATAGGGGTGGAGGGATTCCTGACAAAGTAGGAGACATGCTTGATCAAGGAAGCATGTCAATAATTCCACCTAGCTTTTGTCTTTAACGACCATCAGAAGGGACGATTAAACGCGAAATTGATACCTCCGGTCAGGATCCACACAAATGAGCACAAATGTTGGAACGACGAGGGGCCGGCCTACGACTTTGGAGTAGCAGGGGAAGTAACACAACTGCTCAAAGCAAAGATGGATTCCTTTGTGGCATAATCCACCGCGTCACCATACACAAATAGATGATTCGTGTTCCGAAAGCCTAACAAGTCGCTTAGGTGGATCCAAGATCTGCAGAAATTAAATGTTGTCACCATCCGGGACGAGGGATCA